CAGAGGCTCAGGTTCGCTAACCAAACTTGGCTAACACTGCGGCGTAGAAGCAAGGTCTGGCAGCTGCTTATAAAGGCCGGTCTCCTGATGAGCTGATGAGCGTCAGCTGTGCTGGAGAGCTCCAGCCCAGGAGGATCCACAGCGCACTCTGCTGGAGAAAGTGGTGAATCTCCAGATCCCAACAGTCCTAGCTGTCTTTATCCATGCTGGCTCACATCCTGATGTTTAAAAAAGGAGGCATGGAAAGCAGAATAAAGCGTTAAGGGCTGGTTAAACTCCCGCAGCTGTGTGTCGCAGTGAGCTTGTCACGGATATTTTTTTATTTATGCCCAATATTGAAGCGTGGTCTAGTCTTTCTTGGAGGAAGAGCTCTGACAGCATCAGGAGCGGAATTTGAAGTTGACAGAGAAGAATCGACTCAAAATTACTGAATGTGGGCAGGTTGGTTAAACTGGTTTGTGACTGGACTGTTATTGTGTCTCATGTTGAGGATGATGGAGATGATGAGATGGATTTAAGAGACTGGGCTCCAGTGCATGGTAATAGAGGGTCAGGAAGAGAGCGCAGAGAAGGCAATGTGTCAGAGACACAAAGTGATAAAAGGAGCCTGGAAGGAAACTGTTTGGATGAAAATAATGTAGTTTGTAAGATGATAGTTCGGGAGGAAGCTAAACTAATAATAAAGTTAAGGAAGCAGGATGAAGGTATTCATCTCAGTCTATTAGCTCTGTCGAAAGAATTAAAAAAGCAGTTTGGAGAGCATACAGTTGCTAAAATCCTTAGAGATGGAAATCTGTTGGTTACAGTGAAAAATGAAGAACAGAAAAACAAAGTGATGAGCACCCAGAGTATTTGTAAAAACAATTATTACTCAGGTAAAGATTTTGGGAGATGATAAAGTAGTAAGAGGAGTGATTACAGGTATCCCAGTGGAGGAAGATCTAGAAAAGTTTAGACGTGGTATTTATGGTGGTGAAATGAGCAAAATCAAAAGATTGATGAGAACAGTGGAAGGTGAAAGAGTGGAAAGTCTCTCAGTAATGTTGGAGTTTCAAACAAATATTCTTCCTGAAAGGGTGAAAGTTGGGTGTATGTGCTTTCCTGTAAGGCCATATATCCCTCCTCCTCTCAGGTGTTATAAATGCCAGAGATATGGACACATCGCAGCATGTAGGGGAAAACAGAGATGTCCAAAGTGTGGAGGAGAGCACAATTATGACGAATGTAAAAATGGGAAGGAAACTTTTTGTAGGGCAACACAGAGTGACTTATGGAGGATGTGAGCTTAGAAGAAAAGCAATGGAAATCGAACAGGTTAAAGTCACTAGTAATATAAGTTATGCAGAAGCCGCTAAGCCAAAAGAAGTGATAAAGAAAGTTCAGCCAAATCCAACACCAAAACAAAGACAGAGTGGAACTGAAAATGTGCAAACAGTTGAAAACATTATGTTGTTCATTGCATATGTCATCAATTGTACAGATCAAGTTAAGCAAAAAACAGAAAAAATCTAAATAATTGTGAAAGGGGCGGAGAGGTTTTTCGGTATAAAGGACATATCCTAGGAACACATAAATAAGAGATTAGGGGCAGAAGGAAAGACAGGAGGACAGGAAGAAAAAATCTGAACACCTTACAATGGAAAGCTAGAAGCCTTAGCGCAAATGGACAAGAGTTTAAAAGATTTCTTAGAGAATTTAACAAGATATAGATATTATATGTATTCAGAAAACGTGGCTTAAACCAAATCTTGATTTTCTTATGAAAAGGATATGAAAGCATTAGAAGAGATAGAGAGGGAGGATCTGGAGGAGGACGTAAAATATTAATAAAACAGGGAATTCAATTTAGACTATTGGCTAAAGGAAGAGTGTTAGAATACATTGATACTGAAATTTGTACAGTAAATAAGTCATTTAAATTAATCAACTTCTATAATCTATGTAAAAGAATTTCAATAGATTTAATGGAGGAACTTGTGGTGTATTTAGAGGGTAAGGTTATATGGTGTGGGGACTTTAATGGACATCGTTCATTATAAGGGCATCATAAGGATCTTAATGGGGAAATAATAGAAGAAATAATGGATGTTAAAAATTTGTTATGTTTAAATGATGGAAGTGGAACCAGGATTAATTTGAGAGATAATACAGAGTCAGCAATTGATTTAACATTAGTATCAAATTCTATGGCAGGGGTTTTGTTTATGGCAAGAAATATATCAAACAACTATAGGAAGTGATCATTATCCTATTTTGATTGAAATAAAGTTAAATATAGAAAGGTATTGTGTAAAAGGGGCAAACAAATTGTGTTTTAGGTCAGCAAATTGGGAAACATTTGAGAATAGTAATAAAATTAAAATGTTAAAAGTGGATTGAGTAGGAGTATTGATGAAATAAATGTTTCTATATGTAATACTATCTTAGAACCTGCTAATCAGGCTATAAGGAAGAAAGGTGGGGGAAGGGAAAGAAGGTTGGTTCCTGGTGGATATTAGAATGTAAGGAGGTTATCAAGAAACCAAATAAAGCTTTCAAATTATTAAAAAGAAATCACAACTTTCAGAATCTGAATGAATACAAGAAATTGCAAGCAAATGTAAGAAGAACTATTAAAGATGCAAAAAGAGATTATTGGAGGAGTTTCTGTAATTAAGCGGGGAGGGAGACAGATATATCTAAGGTGTGGGCAACAATTAAAAGGATGAGTGGGATTAAAAGAGTGAGTGGTTATCCAATATTAAATGATGGAGCAGTCACTAACAGCAGTTAGTGACAGAGAAAAGGCAAAAACATTGGTAAATACATTTGTTAAAATTCATAGTTCTGGAACTATCAGTGATGAAGAAAAAAGGAAGAGAAAATACCATCTAATACAACAAGGGTTTATTACAGGAAATAGGAGATAAAATGATCCATTAGATACGTTGTTTACTATAACAGAACTGAATAGTGCATTTAAAAAATATGTTATCAGCTTCAGGAAAAGATCAAATTTATTATGTTTGTCAGAGTTTGGTTGTGGTTTAGAGCACCCAAATGCAGACAAAGGCAGGAATCCAAAATCCAACTTAAAATGTAACACAAACCAGAACCATAGAGACATCAGGGAAAAACAAAAAGCAACAGAGAACCAGCGACGACAGAACCACCAACAACAGAAGCAGCAACAACAAAGGCACCAACAAGAAATGACAGCAGAGGGAGGGTATATATATAAATCACTGAGACAAAGGCAGGGCTAGCGAGTTGATAAGGAGCAGGTGTGAGTGGAGACAACGAGGGAGCCAAGGGGAAATGAACACACACAAGAGGGCAACAGAGGACAATAACAGAAAAACCTGAGCACTAGAAGAAATCTAGAAACACAAAGTAGGAAATAAACCAATAAAACACACGGATCAAAGTAAAACAGAAAGTAAGACCGTGACAGTACAGTGCCGACTG